CCAGAGGAACACTTGGAGCATTAATGGATGCAGGGACTTTTTAAGGAGCTGTTGGATTTTGTGGCTGGAATGAGCTCATCAGCACGAGCGCCGGGTGAAGGAACCCAGACCTGCTCTGGGGGAACAGCACACGGCTCCTCCAGCCTTGGGATGGATCCTGGGGTGTTTTTCCAGCAGCTCCTGTGGAGATTTGTGCTGCTCATGGGATGTCACCGGTCCCTGCTGTGTGCCAGAGGCAGCAGGGTCCTGCTGGGATGCATTTGGAACAACCTGACTTGGACTTGGGAAAAAATTCCTCCCTGTGAGGGTGGCACGGAATTCCCAGAGAAGCTGTGGCTGCCCCTGGATCCCTGGAAGTGTCCAAGGCCAGCTTGGATGGAGCTTGGGGCAATCTGGGATAGTGGAAGGTGTCCCTGGAAAAGGGATGAAACCTTTAAATCCCTCCAACCCACAATGTGTGGGAGCTGCAGTGTCTGGCTCAGACAGGAACAAATGAAAATCCAGTTTGGAGGGAGAAACTTCCATTGGTGCCCGCTCAGATCCAACCTAAACGTGGGGTGTGGGACAGGAATTGGGGGGGATTTGGGTCCCTGTTTAGACCTGGGATTGCAAAAACCCCACAGTGCAATTTGTAATGTGTAAAGCCTGACCCAGAGCAAGGTTTTTAGTGAAGATTGTGCATTTCTGTGTCCGTGGTTGCTTCATTCCTCAGCAGAGGCTGGCCTGCTCCCTTTTCTCCTGGTGCTTCCAATAGTTCTCTGAATTTCTCTGGGATTTACAAAAACCATCTCCTGCCTGCACAGAGGTGATTATTGACCTGTTTTACTCTGCACCCTGAGCAGCAGAGATTAAATCCTCACACAAACAGCCAATCGAGGTGTTAACAAGAAATTAAATTCATAATGGGGGGAAAATTAAATTCGTAATGGGGGGAAAATTAAATTCATAATGGGGGAAAATTAAATTCATAATGGGGGGAAAATTAAATTCGTTATTGGGGAAAATTAAATATTCTTGTTGCTGCTATTTAATGGGAATATTTTTTTATCTGTGCCTATGATAAATCTGGGGGGAAAACCACATGTATGAGTGTTTTTCAAGGAACAGTTTAACAGCTACACTCCAGTGCAGGTAGAGACTCTGCTTTGACTTTCAGACTCCACTTTGGGGCAGCAGGAAGGACTGGATGGTTCCTGAGGTCTCTTTTTTCCCTTTAAATGATTTACAGTCCTTCCAGAAATGCCAATTTTGGCTTTTCTGTGCCAATGGCTCGGTGTCAGGAAGCCCCAGTGAGGTGATCCTGTCCCCATGCTGAGGACAAGCTCCAGGTTGTTTAAGAGTTTCCAGCTTGTTTTTGTCCCTCCTGGACAAATTTCCAGCTTGTGGCATGGAATTTGAGCTTCCTGTGCCTACTGGATGTCTGTAACAATCTGGGATTTCAAAAAAAAAAAAAAAAAAAAAAACCCAAAAAACCCAAACCCCAGCCAAACAAAGNAGCCCAACCTGTAAAAAAGTTAAAAAGTTACGGCTGGAGGTGCCCATTTTCTGACAGAAGGGTTTGGTAACGGGGCAGGGGACAGAAATGTGAGGAATAATTGGTTTTGGGCCTAGAACCAGGAAAACTACTTTTCCAAATTAATCCAGCGAGAGCCATGAATCCACTGTATTTCATATCACACTTCATAAAACTCCAGTCATAATCCATAAAAGTGACATTATTAGATTAAAACCCTCAGTTCCTCCTAGAAGGAGCTCGCTCATTAGACATGCTGTAGTTTTATAACCTCAAAGTTCCTCCCCAATTACCATGATTAATACTGGGCTTTAATAAAAAATTTCTCCCCATCACCACAGGGGTTGATCCCATCTGGTTGGTGTAATTGGGATTTTCAATATTGCCCAGCAAGGGAAAGAGCACAAATCAGGGCTGAGGATGGATGGGGATGGAGGTGTGCACATCCAGCTGGGTCCTGGTGCTGGTTTGGAGCATGGAGAAGCCCAGGTGTGGTGTGAGCCAAAGGCTGGAGTTGCTGTGGAAGTGGGGATGAATTCTCCCTCCTCAGCCATCAGGGAAGCTCCCCGTGCTCTTTCCAGCAGGGAATCTGCCCTGGGAAATCCATCCCAAATTGAACATCCCAACTGGAGCCAGCTGTGGGGGAGCAGAGCATGGGAGCTGCAGAGGTTTCACACAGGAAAGGCAGGATTTGGGGAATTACAAATTTGGGGAAATTTGGATGGCAGTGGGTCCCTAAATCCTGGGAGATGCTGCTCCTGTGGGTTCAGCTTCACCCTTGGTGCCATGGACTCGTCCATCCCTCTGGTGTCTCCCAGCTGGAGCAGAGGAACCCACAGGGATGCTCCAGGGCTGGAGCCCCTCTGGGAGAGCTGGGAATGCTCACCTGGAGAGGGGAAGGATCCAGGGAGAGCTCAGAGCCCCTTCCAGGGCCTAAAGGGGCTCCAGGAGAGCTGGAGAAGAGGGACAGGGGATGGAGGGACAGGACACAGGGAATGGCTTCACATGGGCAGAGAGCAGGGCTGGTGGGATTTTGGGCAGGAATTCTCCCCTGGGAGGGTGGCACAGAATTCCCAGAGGAGCTGTGGCTGCCCCTGGATCCCTGGAAGTGTCCAAGGCCAGGGTTTGGAGCACCCTGGGGCAGTGGAAGGTGTTGGGGGTGGAACTGGATGAGTTTAAGGTCCCTTCCCACCCAAACCATTCCATGATGATGATGATGATGATGATGATGATGATGAAATAACATTAAACCCACTCAATACAGCCACAAAGCCTCTTGCTGGGACACCACCACCCCTCAGCATGTTTGACAAATCCCATTTTTTTGGCTTTGAAGCAGGAATTCCTTGGAGTTTTGTGCTTCCAAACCCGAGGGCTCCATGGCTCCCTCAGCCCCCGGCTGAGCAGGAGCTCCAAGCCCCAGCCAGAAGCACTGAAATTAAAAATGTGTCGGCTCTGCACTTCCAGCCCAGCCCAGAAAACGCCAAACTCGTGTTATTTTTTGAATCCCCTGATTTTTCAGGGCTGCTGGAAATAAGAGCTCCCGCTCCTGACTTCCAAGCAATAAAGAGAGGTGAATCACTCCTGAAAAAAAAAAAAAAAAAAAAAAAAAAAACGAAAAACCCCAAAAACATTTAAAAAAAACCCCTCCCGTGGACCACCCAGGGGCTCCTGCACAGCACAGAAGGATTTTCTTAACACGGCTGCGACTGCACGAGGCAAAATCACCTCGGAACAGGAGCAGAGTTCCCCGAGTGAGAGGTGTGATAATGGAGCCAGGCTGATTAATATGCATCGAGTTAAATCACATTCAGGTCACAGGGTGAGCCCCAAACCTCCCCTGGAACATGTTCCCTTCCAGGACCCGACATGTGTCTGGAATTCAGGTAGAAATTTTTTTATTTTATTTTATTTTTTTTTTCCCCCTCATAATTATCCAGCTCAGCATAAATTATTATTTTTTTAAATGAAATAATAGTTAGGGGTTTTTGTTCCTTGCTGTGATTGGTCAGAGCTCTCCTTTTTTTTAACAATCTGTGACTTTCTGAAGAGTCCTGCTGGGGTTTTAAAACTTGTAACTTGCAAATCACCATGTCAGAAACCATGGTGCCAGCCATATAAAATGTGAAATCACACGTTCTTAGCATTTATTTGTTGTCATTTTTAATGAGAAAACATGGATTATTTTATCAGAACCCTGGCTGAAAGTCCTCAGGCTGAAAATGTCCCCGTGTTCTTGATGTTTGTAGCAGTATTTTGGGAGACCACATGCAAGATATTCTCCTAAATATCCAATAAAAGTTAAAATTAAAACAAAATAACGCCTCTTAAAATGCACATTTCTATATTTAATGCTGCTCTTTAATTAGAAGTTCCAAGATTTCCTCCTGAAGGGTTTCAGGGGCGTTGCTGTCACGGATCCCTCAGAATGAGCAGGAAGGGGGAGATTCCCATGGGAGCACCATGGAAATCGAGTCACAATGGAAATCAAATTAATTTGGAAATTGAGTCACAATGGAAATCAAATTAATTTGGAAACTGAGTCACTTTGGAAATCAAATTAATTTGGAAACTGAGTCACTTTGGAAATCAAGGTACAATGGAAATCAAGGCACTGTGGAAATCAAGGTAGAATGGAAATCAAGTTACTTTGGAAATCAAATTATTGTGGAAATCAAGGCACAGTGGAAACTGAGTCACTTAGGAAATCAAGTCACTATGGAAATCAAGTCACTATGGAAATCAAGGCACTTTGTAAATCAAGGCACAATGGAAATCGAGTCACTATGGAAATCAAATTACTCTGGAAATCAAGTTTCTATGGAAATCAAGTTTCTGTGGAAGTTAAGTCACTTTGGGAATCCAGTGTCTGTGGAAATCATGTCACTCTGTCCCCTGGCTGATCCCTCCTGCTGAAGGCAGAGCTCACCAGAGGCACAGATTTTGGCTAAGCCTGGGCTCCAGGAAGGCTTTGCCAGCCCAGAACATCAGTGAGATCCATGTTGGGATTCCAAAATCCATCTTGGGATTCTAAAATCCATCTTGGGATTCTAAAATCCATCTTAGGATTCTAAAATTCATCTTGGGATGCTAAACCCCATCTTGGGATTCTAAAACCCATCTTGGGATGCTAAAATCCATGTTGGGATTATAAAATCCATCTTGGGATGCTAAAATTCATCTTGGGATGCCAAAACCTGTCTTGGGATTCTAAAATCCATCTTGGGATTATAAAATCCATCTTGGGATGCTAAACCCCATCTTGGGATTCTAAAATTCATCTTGGAATGTTAAAATCCAACTTGGGATGTTAAAATCCATGTTGGGATGCTAAAATCCATCTTGGGGTGCTAAAACTCATTTTGGGATTCTAAAACCCATCTTGGGATTCTAAAACCCATCTTGGGATGCCAAAACCCATCCCCACGTGTTTTTTGCTGGCATTTTGGGAGATCCAACGCTCTCCTCTTCCTCGTTTCCCCTGCAGGTGCTCCTGATCATCAGTGGGAACCTGAGTTTCCTCAACTGGCTCACCATGGTGCCCAGCCTGGCCTGCTTTGACGATGCCAGCCTGGGGCTCCTCTTCAGCTCCCGGCTCCGGGAACGCGCGGCGCGGCTGCAGCGCCCAGGGGAGCAGGGACACAGGATTTCCCTGGGTGAGTTATTCCCAGACAGGGAAAAGTTGGGATTTTGGTGTGCTTGGTTCCAAAGGTCTCAGAGAGGGAAAAGTTGGGATTTTGGTGTGCTTGGATCCAAAGCTCTCACCTTGAGAGGAAAAGTTGGGATTTTGGTGTGCTTGGATCCAAAGCTCTCACCTTGAGAGGGAGAAGTTGGGATTTTGGTGTGCTTGGATCCAAAGATCTCAGAGAGGGAAAAGTTGGGATTTTGGTGTGCTTGGATCCAAAGATCTCATCTCAGAGAGGGAGAAGTTGGGATTTTGGTGTGCTTGGATCCAAAGTTTTTCATCTTTGAGGCAAAGATCTGCTTCTCTGTGGGCAAAAGGTGCCTGGAGCTCACGATGTGAGGCTGGTGGTTGGTTCATGAGGGTCTGTGGGGACACTGCCATGGGGACACTGCCATGGGGACACTGCCATGGGGACACTGACATGGGGACACTGCCATGGGGACACTGACATGGGGACACTGACATGGGGACACTGACATGGGGACATTGCCATGGGGACAATGCCATGGGGACAGTGCCATGGGGACATTCCTTCTGGGACGTGTCCTCTGCAGGATCAATTCACAGCAAGTCCAGGCAGGTGCAGCTCCTGAAAGTCACTCCTTGCTCTGCCCCCAGTGGCTCAAACTCAAAATAAGAATGTGGAGTAGAATGATTGAACTTGGGTGGGTTTTTTTAATTTTTTTTTTTATTTTAATTTTGGCTGTTTAAAGTCAAGGATGAGGTGGGGTTAGAAGCTGGGTTCTCACATTTGCTCTCCTCACTTGCTCTCCTTCGAGGCATGGTGAAGAGAAGGTTCCAGAGAGAACTCAGAGCTCCTCCCAGATTTTAAAGGGGCATCAGGAGAGCTGGGGAGGGATTCAGGACAAGGAATGGAGGGACAGGACACAGGGAATGGCTTTAACCTGGCTGCAGGTTGATAAGGTTTTATCACCTCAAAGTTCCTCCCCAGTTACCACGATTAATACTGGGCTTTAATAAAAAATTTCTCCCGGGGTAGGTGGGATAAATGGGAAGGAATTCCTGGCTGGCAGGGTGGGGAGGCCCTGGCACAGATTCCCAGAGAAGCTGAGTTCCCTGGAAATATCCAAGGCCAGGTTGGACAGGGCTGGGAGCACCTTGGGACAATGGAAGGAGCAGCTGCTGGTGACCACCACCATGGAAGGGGAAAAAATTCCCCAAAAACCAGGGAGGAGGAGGAGGAGAACTCCCGTTCATCCCATAAATGTGAAAAAGCAAATACAAGGGGGGGTTGTGACTGGAATAAAAAAAACCAAAAAGATCTCGAGGTGGCTGATTCCCCCTTCCAGAGGCGATTTCCAGGCTGCCCCGATGCAGAAGAAGCAGCACGGGGGATGTTTCTGTGGAACAGATGGAGAGTGGTGTTTGCAGCATTTTTATAAACCGCATATAAGCAACAAATTTGCCTGTAATATCAACAACAATCACAGCTGCTGGGGTTAAATATCCCAAACAGCTGTCAGAGGAAGGAAAAATGTCAA